CTTTCTTTCTTTCTTTCTTTCTTTCTTTCTTTTCTTTCTTTCTTTCTTTCTTTCTTTCTTTCTTTCTTTCTTTCTTTCTTTCACAAAAATAACATATCCAGGCTGAAAGTAGATTTGCTCTAACCTTGCCTGCATGCTTCACTTCTGGTGGTGTACTTCTGTTTTGTTTTGTTAAGTTCTGCTTTTGTATGGTAATGTTAATGTAATTGTGCTTATTTAGTCTGGTTGTGTGCACGTCTGAATGGGTAAATAGAAGAACAAACTTAATAGAAAGTTTGATTCTTCTTCACACACGCAAAATAAATAAATAACCAAGCAAATGACAACCTAGAGGAAGGGAAACCTTATGGAGCCCAAATACCTGAGAAATAAAACACATTCTTCAGGGAAAAAAAACCCACAGTGGGAGAAAAGATGGTTTTATGGTTAAGCTGTTGGACTAGGAGTTAATATTTCTATTCCAATCTCTAGTACAGATTTCCTTTGTGACCTTGGCAAGTCTCAGCATCTATGTTCACTCACTTCAGTTTCCTCATCTGCAAGATGTGGATAATCGTATGTACTTCATAAGGATGCTGGGATAGATAAAGTACAAATGAGTCAAGTACTTTGAGACCCTAAACCAAACAGCAAGATGCATTTAATGCATATTTTTGTTGAATGAATTTCACTGTTTTTGTTTTAAAGCAGTCATCTAACCTCTGGGACTCCTTAACTAAGACTAGCCCGGGTTATCATTTGAGAGAAATAGTTTATGTTAATTTGATGTGGTGATTTTTTTTTTTACCATTTTCTTTTCTTCTCTGTCCCTTTGCGTATTGGAATGGGATACAAACTTCACAATGCCACTTCTGCCATGGCAATGCCTTCATGCATGCTGTTTGGGTTTGATCGTGCTATTCATTATCCATTGCATGTAAGGAAATATTTTTTTATTTGCTTTTACATTTTAGCCTTTTGCTATTTGTTGTTGAGTGTGATTTTGTTGGGGAAAAGTTGATGAATAGCAAAAGAGAAACTTGTAATGAATTGCGATATGTGTTTTATTGATGTTGCATTAAAGTTGATTAATTGTATATGTTCTAGATGAATAAGAGCAGACGATTCCTGTGCAATTATAAATACACATTTAGTGTTTAATTGCCTGTATTTAGCCTAGAGTCCTTTGTTCAAACCTGTCCAACTGATACTTTCATTTCAAATATAAAATTTCTTCTGCTTCTCTTCAAGAGAATAACTCTTTCTTACTGAAAGAATGAAAACGCCATCCATCCAATAATTTGCACTTTTGTTTCTCTAGAATGGTAAGGACTGATCTTACAATCTTTTATACCCATGTGAATTCCATTAAACTACAGCACTCGTATAACAGAGAGCTGGGCTATTGGCCCCCAGTACTCCAAAATCATTTAGATGAATACATTTCCTAATAAGACGTATAGGACATGATTGTCCACTCAGACCAATGTAAATTGGAATTAGCTACATTGAAATCAATGGAGAGAAACTGGCATCAGGAGGAGGAGATTCATACCTGCACTATTTAGTAAAATATTCATATACTGTATAATGGCCATGTACATTTAATAGAAAGTCTAATTTTTGTCCTGCTACTATCAATTAGCTGCTGCCAAAATATGAGGGCTACATCTTGAGAATTTTTGTTTGTTAGGATAAAAAAGGATAGGACCATTGATTTGAAAGAAGACATTTTAGACTTATTATCAAAATAAATTAGCACAGTTGATCCTATCGCATCTGGAAGACGATGCCTCTGTCCCTTTGATTTAACTGCCTAGTAAATTGGAGCCTAGCATATACCAAGCAATAATAAATTTTGCTTAGCTAATTACATCACAAGGAATACTTATGCACTGATTGGTGAAAGCTTGAATCCCCATTTTATATGTAATGTCCCATTTACACAAAGCAAATTCTTTTCCACCGAATCAAAACAAAATACATTGGTGACCTGGTTCCTCTTCTGTACTGAATCAGTCCAGTATCATGTTCGCAGGGTTTAAAAAATATGCCCCATAATCCTTTTTTCTTAAAAGCCTAAACTACATATGTGCCTTACATAACTACTGAGTAACCAGGATTTTGCTGGGAGCTTTTACTCCAGGACTAGGGATAGTTAGAAACAGATGGTTGTAAAATTATAGATATTAAGGGCTTGTGATTTGTTCAGACACATTTCCCCCCACCCTGTACCACTTGATACATTAACAATCCTACATAAAGCCTTAATCCAGCAAACATATACAGTCACACTTAACTTCACACATGTGCATCAAGGATGGTCCAGTGGCTAGGATAGTAGCCTGGGACTTGGGAAACCTGGTTTTAATTCTCTCTTTTTCCAAAGACTTCCTCTTTGGGCAAGTTACTTAACCTCTCTATGCCTCAGTTTCCATCTGTGGAATGGGGATAATAGTACTTCCCTACCTCAGAGGGGTGTCCTGAGGATAAATGCATTAAAGATTATGAGGCGCAAAATGAACATCTTGAGCCTCACTTAGAATGAAGTCACCTATGTGATCTGTGAATCACACATGTGATGCACATTGGCTGCAGTGTGACTGATTTTCTGTCAGAACCCACTCTGCACACACAACTCCCTTTAGCTATTCCCTTTATTGTGTCACCTCTGTGTAAAAAAAAAAATCCAGTGGAAAATTCACTAAGTGCTGCTGAAGCAAAGGGTTTCAGTGCAACACAGTGACCTTCTGTTTTAAAGGACACTTATGCACTGCTATTGAAGTAGCATACAGCAGTGGTTTTCAAACTTTTTTTTCTGCGAACCCAGTTGAAGAAAATTGTTGATGCCCACGACCCAACGGAGCTGGGGATGAGGGGTTGGGGTTTGGAGGGGCTCAGGACTGGGGCAGAGGGTTGGTGTGCTGGGGTGACAGCTGCGGGGTGGGGCCAGGAATGAGGGGCTCAGGGCTGAGGGTGCAGGCTCTATGGTGGGGCCGGGGATGAGGGGTTTAGGGTGCAGGAGGGGGCTCAGGGCTGGAGCAGGGGAGTGGGATGCGGACTTACCTCCGGTGGCTCCCGGTCAGCGGCACAGCCGGCCTGCAGAGGCAGGCTTCCCACCTGTCCTGGCACCGTAGTCCATGCCACACCCTGGAAGCGGACAGCAGCAGGTCTGGCTCCTAGGTGGAGGTGCCGAAGGTGCTCGGTGCAGCTCTCGCTCGCAGGCACCGTCCCACCCCAGCGCCCATTGGCCATGAACTCAGGGCGGAGGCAAGGGGCAGTGCGCGGAGCCCCGTTGCCCTGCTGCCTAGAAGCCGGACCCACTGCTGGCCGCTTCCGGGGTGCAACGCGGTGTCGGAGCAAGTAGGCACTAGCCTGCCCTAGCTGGGCAGCACTGCCGATGGGACTTTTAACATACCGGTCACTGGTGCTGACCAGAGCCGCTGGGTTGCTGAGCAAGGCGACCCAGTTCCTTACATGCCGCGACCAAGTCCTGGGTCGCGACCTGAACTTTGAAAAACACTGGCATACAGAACATGAAATATGGAAGACATGTTTCTGCAGGTCACGACAGTTTCCATTTTAGGTCTTTGCTCGTTTAGATCCTGGTTCAGCATGGTACTGAAGTACATTGAAGTCAATAGGACTAATTGTGTGATTAAAGTTATATATGTGCTAACTACCTTGCTTTATCAAAGCTTCATTTTTACAAATTACCATATGTCAGACTTTTTGTTTGAGGCAACTATATGTTCCATGATCACGTTTCCGTAAGAGGTTCTTTTCATCTGATCTTATCCTTTTGTCATTCCTTTCTCTTGTACTTGCTGTCCCTTTCATCTTCACCCACAACCAACTCATGCCATTGCCATCAGTCTGCTGTAGGTTCATTATAGTGGAGTGCAGGTGTTAATATTACCAGTTGCCCAGAAGACTTTCTCACTATCTGTCTCCCCTTTCTTTTTGGTGGCAGGAAACTTAAGGAACGACTCTTTGTCTGACAGGTCACCCTGTTATCATGCTTACAATTAGCAGAGGAAGCAGCCTTCAGCCATTAACACTGTGTGACCAACCGTAGGCAGGCACTAGTTTTTAGGGTTAATCCAGTTATCACTCACCTGATTACCTCTCTCTTTTTAAAATCCATTTTAAGTGAAATAGCACTGTTAACAATCCACTATGCTATATCTGATTAAAAGATAGAATGGTAAGTAATCCTATTTAAACAATCTTTTTTGATTTAAGGGAGGGTTTGAATGATTTCCAGTGACCTATTCATAACATCGAGTGAGAGATCTTTATTATTTGATTTGTTTAATATCTTCTGCTTCAGAATCCTAAATCTCAGGAGCCCGTTACACTGGATTTTCTGGATGCTGAGCTAGAAAATGATATTAAAGTTGAGGTAAGAAGCACTAGTAATGTAGTGCCTGCTTTGATGTATATATTCTTCACTGTTCTGGGTAATAGCTGAAATATAATAACTGCTGCACATTCCTCCAATTTCCTTAACCTCTTGTTCTTCTAAATGACAGATGGACTTCAGATTTTAATTGCTCTTAAAATGCAGGTTTAGTTAATAGTTTCTGAAATTTATTTTGAATCTATGTATTTTCTTCTTTTATACACCGGCACATTTAAAAAACCCCTGTCATTTGAAAGATTATATTTTTAAGATTAAGATTCCCGATTATTCTCTCTCTATAATGGGGAGTGCCATCAGGAATGGTAGAATCATTCAAAACAGTACACTTTTTTAAGAGTGCCTAGTGTGAACAATGCATGACCCACTTTATCATGTGAGCAGATAAGCTCTGTTTATGACATTTCTGAAGCATGCTCATGAACTGCAGAACATTTTTAAACAAAAATTCTTTCCCTCCATTTTACTAATGCAAAATTATTATTATGACTCAACAATCAATTTTAAAGCACTGAAAAATAAGCAAAGTGTTCACAACAAACCCAAATCCTCCAAAACAAAAAAACTAACAAACGAACAAAAAACCTTAAATAAGACATGCCTATCTTATGATATCATTATAAACTCAAATTCCAGGCAAGATTTGTTAAAGATTCATACTTCTTTTGGACAAACTTGACCCAAATTATTGTTTCACAACCTCTATAATTCAGGTTTCAGTATAATGCCAGCTGAAAGTTGGTGGTTCCAATTAAGTACTTCATTGGAACCAAAACTCAAAGCAAAACTTGGGGAGGGTTAATCCACACAGACTGAAACAAAAAGTTTGTACTCACCCATTTTAAGACACACTATAGCTGACTTTCAAATAGCTATCATGAAAATAACTACAGCTATTAGGCAAATTGCATTAGTTCTGCATCAAAATTCCCATTGACTTCACAGTAGTCCTTACTGTCATGAGGAGTCTTACTAGTGTCAGTAATATTGCTCAACAAGAGTATGAAATACAGGATTGGGCTCTCTTTATTAGGGATAAGATAAGTAGGCTTGCATGGGCTATTATTTTCAAATGTGTCAATATGATAGTATTGCTCATAAGATGCAAAGGATCTTGGAAAACATTAATCATGTTGTACGTCACTCCTAGATTCTGATTTTCCTTTTGTCTCTTCCCCCTACCCTCTTCTTCCTTTTTTATTTTATTTTTGTTTGCTTTTTTTGGTTTTGTTTTTTCTTCATCTACTTGTATATAGATTCGGAAAAAAATGATAGATGGAGAAAGTGGGGAAAGAACATTTAAAACATTGGTCAAGTCTCAAGATGAGGTAAGACTGGAACATAGGCTGTCCTACTTTCAGAAAAGAACATTGCAAAATGATGACAAGAAATTCTATATTTTTAAGAAACTTTTAGATTATAAGAAACTTTTATATTTAAAAGCTAACATTCTACTTTTCCAGTGTTCTATACAGGGCCGGCTC